CTGGATGTGATGTGTATGTGAACTTGTATGTTTGTAAACGCACCCACGACACAGGAGAAAATCCTAATGTGGGGCAACGTTTTAAAAAAAGAGTACAATAAAGTCAGAAGAACCTTTCACGCAAGAGTCGTAAGAGGTAGAGACTACATAATAGAGGTATACAATTATACATATTTAACAAAGAATTAGACAGACGTTGTTTATTTTTCTAACAGAAAGTACGATATAATTTTAGTATTTCTATTAGAAGTTATTTGTGCAATAGTGATAATAATTATCTGTAAATAAGGTCACAAATGTACATTATCTTTTGAACTGAAAACATTCCACCTTAATATTGTGTGTTATCAATATTCTGTACTATCATGTACTTCTTTAAATGAAAGATTCCAAAATTACTTTTACAAGCATAACAATAAAAAAAAAAACAACCGGCAGCGGGCGCTTGGTCCAAGCTGCCGATGGTTAGAGCTCCAGATACAGAAACCTCAAAGCGTGCCGTGTCATGAAGAACTGCCTTCTGTATGAATCTACATGTCGACAACCTTGTGAGCCAAGTCAAGGTTTTAGTAGATTTTTTTATCTTTCTCAGTTTTTACAAGGTTTTCGTCCTGAAGAATTAAGACAACGATTCAAAAATCGTTGTCACATACGCGTGGCGCATAAGCTGGTCTTATCATCATCAGTCTGAGATGATGAAAGAATTTGTCAGAGGTTCTTCAAAATCAACCCCAGATGTGATAAAATTTAAAAAGATCAGTACCTACATCACCGGACAACGTGTTCGTAAAATGTTCATTCACAAAGTGAACTAACAATTGATTTGAACCAGAAATCAATTAGTACCATATTAGAACAAAAGAGGGCCGGTAGCAGAAACTTGATATCTTTGAAATTCGATAATTTGGTTAGGAACAAACGGACAAACACGCCCGTATGTTACTCTTTATATTTAATTTTCAACTCTCTGTCTGTTACTACAAAGCTTAATACAGAATAGCTTGTATTTTATAGACATAGAGCTGCAAAGGCCCCTGTTAGTCTTTCCCACGTTGCTTCATTACATCAAACATTCTGCCACGCGTAGGTATTATGGTAATAGAAAAAAAAATATCTTGGCTACTTTGCATAATCCGTGAATGACAGCGTGACATTAAGTTGTCTGTTTATTTTGCCAAGATTATGACCTCCAGTTTTTAAAGGAAAATGCACTCTATTTCAAAGTTTGTAAGGTATACGCTATATTTATGTAAATGTTTGTAAGTTTGTAATAGACAAAGTCATGTGACAGTGGTGTGAAGTGAACGATTTTGTTTATTTACTTTTTTTTTGGTTTATGTTTAGTGTCGCGTTTTGGAGTATAGTCGTTGTCAAGTACTTATTTTTAGAATTATGTTATCATATTTTATTGTAAGTATCTACCTACATTACATGTGTTACGTGTACATGTAGCTATAATTTATTTGTACCGAGATTATCTTCCACAGATTATTATAAAATTGCAATTACTTAAGCACATTAAATCTCTTTCGCAAGCATCTTACGAGGCAAAAGAAACTTCTGAAGCTAGGTATCGCATAAAAGCACTGATGTACTAAAAATGTTATTATATTTGAATTAGGCTTCAGTTTTAATTAAAATTCTTGAATTTCTTATTACCTTTACTGTTTTTTTTAAATCTATAATTTGATTTGAAATTGAACATGTAACCTAAGTAAAAAAATATTTCTAGTCCTATCTAGAGCAGATCTAATTAATAAAATCACTTTTTTTTATATTCGATGGGCCGACGTTTGACCATTATCCAGCCTGGTGTTAAGCGATGATGCGGTCTACGATGGAACACGTGGACCCATAAGCAACCTATTCACTCGGGCCTTGAAGACACCCAGGTTACCCTTTGATAAAGAATTCCACTCCTTAGCAGTACGCACAAGCAAGCCTGATGCGGAACGCTTCGTGCGTGTGGGTGGGACATCTACCATGAATCGGTGACGCTTCGCCGATTGTCGTGTGGTACGATCATTAACAGACCTCAATCCAAAATCTATGTGTGGTGTGAAAAAGCGAAGTTTAGTAATTTATTTCTCTATATAAAATATAAGGTAAGTAATGTGAACAATCTTGTAAATAAATGTTCATTTTTATCCGACTTCAAAAAGAAAAATGTTGGTTCTCAGTTTCATCTGCATATATGTATGTTTGAGCGCAATAATTAGCCTCGAGGAAGCTTGGTGTGCTCAACAGATCGAAGCAGTATTTCACCCCGGCTCACCGCCTGCTTCTATATAAGGCGCAGGTTCGGCCCCACATGGAATACTATTCTCATCTTTGGGCGGGGTCACCCCAGTACCAGCTTCTTCCTGTGGACCGCATTCAGCGGCGTGCCGTTCGGATTGTTGGATGTCGGGATGTTTCAAACCGGCTGGACACTTTGGCAATGCGTAGAGATGTAGCTTCAATGTGCATTTTCTATCGCTTATACCACAGGGAGTGCTCTGAGGAACTGTTTGACCTGATACCTGCCGCATCTTTTCGCTATCGACCCTCACGACAGCATATGCATCCCCATCATATAGATGGTTGGCAGGCCACAACTGTGCGCTTCTCACATAGCTTCCTGCCTCGCACAGCAAAACTTAGGAATCATTTATTTATTTATTTATAAGCACATGTATAATTATACAGCGCAAGCCAAAACATTATACAGTTAAACAATAAAAAATGTTACTTATTTACTATTTTACACTTATGTACCTATATCTTATATAAAAAGTACAATAATTATAATTACTTAAAACTAATTCATCAGCCGTCCATCTTCTCACAAAATCTTACACATTCACGACATACATCCTTCCATCTCGCTGCGAACAAATCACACTCTGGTGCGGATGCCAGGAAAGCATTGATCATCGTTAATGCTCGAACAAGCGGAGAATTTGCATGCGCGATTGTTCTGACTAGGTATCACCATTTCCGAACCCATACGACCTTCAAACCTTCAAGAAAAGAGCGTACCTTCAAGAAAAGGCCGGCAACGCACCTGTGACTCCTCTGGTGTTGCGGGTGTCCATGGGTGGCGCTGATCGCTTACCATCAGGTGATCCGTCTGCTAGTTTGCCTCCTATACCATAAAAAAGATTATCTCTCGATTGGGTGGATCGATTTTGATAATGATGCAGTTTTCAAAAAAGTGTTTGTTACACTTGGGAGAAGGTTTTGGTACATTAATTAACCAACATCAAAAAGAGGTTGAAGTCAGTTCTTGTGAACGTAATTTATAAAAATATTATTGTTATGTTATATATAACACACTGTAGGACAGCTGAAGATTTCTCATATTGTAAATATGATGAGATAACTTTAGGTCACACTATCTGTATTTAGGTACATGAATGTTTTCCCCATTCGCGAATTCGGGTCTTGTATTAAGCTTTATTATAGCAATCTGACATTATTTTTTAACATTAATGTTACACGTATGTACATATAATAAATAGGTGCTAGTACTCACGAATAACACATTGCAAAGTGAGTTACATTGACGTGTCGAAGACTCAAATTGTCCTCAGTCTCGTGTTGTGGATCGGTCAGTTACTTTTTTAAATTTTATTTTTTTTTGAAATCTGTCTTTGTTGTGCCGATTGTGGATAAAATACTTAATAAACAAAAACGCATTCAATGTACAGTTTTGACATTTCTACGATTTTATTATAATAGATACTTAGACTTAGACTAGAATTAGACTAAGTCAAGTATTAAAAATACTTTAGGTACCATTGTTGATTTTTTAATATTTTCGCTAAACACGTCTATATTTCCATGACTGTTATTTCACATGTTCCCAGGTTTAGTATTGTGCAAATAGTACTCGTATGTGTAAAATAATGGCGGCAGTTGGTTGATGGGTGGCAAGTACAATTGAAAGTTTAACGATTTTTTCAAAAACATGGGGCCTCTAGACGCAAGAAATAGTCAGAAATCTAGAAAGGAAAACTAAACTTGAGCAAGAATACTTTGTAATTGATTGGCAAGTGATGCCGCGGGCAGATCACTAGAGGCCAACATTGTGATAGTGACGCTTTATCGTCATTAACCATACAGGGGGCAGTAAAATTATGATAGATTAATTATTTACATTACTAGCCTGTACGTACATTATTTTTTCATAATTGTATCAGGATAAATATGTCCATGACAAAATTAAATGCAACTTTTTCCATAATATTTCATCATCACGACAAAATAAAAAATACGTGTCTAATATTTTTTGACTGCCTCGTTGGCTGAGTGGTCGCAAGTGCGACTGCCGGGAAAGGGTCCCGGGTTCGATTCCCAGGTCGGGCAAAGTTTACTGGGTTTTTAAAAATTCTCAGTAGTAGCACGGAGTCTGAATTTGTGCCCGGTATATGGCTATAGGCTCACTCCCTATTACATGGGACTTATAACATAAATAGTGAAAAGTGGGTGTTACATTGTACAGTGGCATAATGTGCACCTCTGCCCACCCCTTCGGGGATAAAAGGCGTGATGTTATATTAATGCTATGTTAAATATTAATATCTATAAATCACTGTCCACTTAAATAAGTTTTAATTATTCGTTCAAACCCGAGAGCCCCGTATAAATGATACGGTAGATACGGCGCTTGCTACGCCACTGTAAATAAACGTTAAAGATTTTTTGGAAAATCACTCGATACTTTTATCTACAATTACCTACCTGATTTTATTTATCAATAATTTTTTTAAACACCCTGTTCACACAAGTTGAAGATTTCGCATGTTATTATGAACAAAGCAGATAACTTTAGGTTATCTGTGTTTACTTCTCCACAATCTCCAGGGAAAGCCCATACTTGTGTGACAGTTTATTTATAACATTTAAATATAATTTGTATCAGTTTTAATTATGTTATCATTCGTGTTACACGTTAGTATATAATAGACCCGTGCTAGTGATCTTGACCACTACATTGCGTAGTGACTTACGTTAACATGTCGAAGACTCTAATTGTTCTTAGTCTGGTGTTGTGGGCTGGTAAGTTTACTTATTTGGTATTAGTAAGTGTTTGGTTGTCCGATTGTGGAAAAATACAAAATAATCTCTTACTTATCCAATAATAATTATCTTAGAATAGGGTAGACGACTAATTTTTATTTTAATGTCCGTCTGATAGATTATTTAAAAACATTAGACACGTATTTTTTATTTTCTCACAGAAACGAATAGTTTCGAAGATATATTGATTTGAAATGTCGCGTGACGTCACTTCTCAGTACATTTTATACTAAGGAATGACGTTTTAGCCCCAACTCCTAAACTTTGATTCGTTTTATCTAAGTATTGTTTTATTATACGACAAAATAAAAAAATACGTGTCTAATATTTTTTCATTACCTAACTTACGGACTAATTATATTTTTAATTTTCATACCCTGTCATCATCCCCATTACTTACATTATTATGTTTCTTAAAAATCATATTTACGATTTATTTGTTCAAATCACCACCCTTCAAGCAATTTACCTAATACTTACGTAATACGATTATAACATCACGCCTTTTATCCTCGAACGGGTAGGCAGAGGTGCACATTACGGCACTTAATGCCACTGTACAATGTAACACCTAATTTTCACTATTTATGTTATGAGTCACATGTAATAGGGAGTGAGCCTGCTACTAATGAGGTAATACTTTGCCCGACCCGGGAATAGAACCCGAGACCCCTTGTCCGGCAGTCGCACTTGCGACCACTCGGCCAACGAGGCGTTATTCCTAATACGATTTTCCAAATTAACACTATAGTAACTTATTTCGATGATTCAATCAAAATCTTTTTATCCATGAGACGTGTCAGGCTATATTTATATGAATGTTTATTAACACGTTCCCAGGTGTAGCGCTGTGCAAACAGTATGTGTACAATGATGACGCCAATGGTTGGTTGAAACTTCACAAGATTCCACTGCCATGGCAGGAAGCTTTCATGACGTGCCACTTCGAAGGTAAACACATGCATAAAGAACTTATAAACCTTAACATCTTGAATCTCCTTAGTAATATTTTGCCCTGGCTACTATTCCGTCATTATTACTCCAGCATCTAAATATTCACTCGAGCTGTGTATGTACCTACTACAGATGCAGTACTAGCGTCGCCCACAAATGACGCACTACATCAAGCTATATTGACTGCGGTGGAGAAAGCAGATATCGATTTTCCTATTTACATAGGAACGAAAGAAATGTTCGTTTACGGACAGTACGCGTCTATCGAAGGTAAGTGTCTTTGTGTGAATTATGGTCTAAGCAGTGTTGCATTACCTTCACATTTAAATTAATTTACATGTCATTTTAATCAATTGTCTTTACCACTACCCTTAACTCGTCGAGTACCGGTTTTATAGACACAATTAAAGAACAATAGGTCGCGGTCACCGGTGACCGCTTGGTATTTGACAGTTTAAGAACGATTGAAGCCGCGACATAATGCACAGCAACAGTTGCCGGTCACCTAGCCACTAGCCACTGCGCCAATCGTGTAATTGAAGTGCGCTAAATCACATTTAAAAACTATTTACCTACTGTTTATTAAAGTAACGCCAACTTCTGAAAGGACAATGTCCAAAATGGCCCTGTGTAATAAAGAGTATCAGAATATATGATAATTAATCCCCTATTTTATTATATAAGTTGCATATATTTCTGTGTCACGGACTAGCTGTATTTCAAAACGTACTTTTAATAGAATATAACGCGAATAATTATATTATATTAGATCGCCATCTTCGCCTAATCTCAAATACTTTCGCCTAATGTAATAAACAAATAAATCAGCAAGTCCTATGTCATGTCGTGTTGAAAGTGAAATAGGACTGTCCAATCAATTATAATTGATCGATTGTGTTTTTTTTTCTTCATGAATGCTGTCATACTCCAATTTAAATAGGTAGGTCGTAAATACAGTAATGCAGTAAATACAGTAATCAAAACTTTTTACTTCTATACAATCATTTACGGGACGCGTGAGGCAGCGAAGCGCTGCCTCCTCGCAACCCAGCCATCGCGAAGGACACACCGGGCGTCGGGGATCGCGAGACGATCTCCGGCCACCGTAAGCGCGGGCCTGCGGACGGCGAGCATGGGTGGCTCCCCGTCCGACCAGAAACAGACCCGAGCGTACGGCGCGTCGCGTTCCGCGCGCGCCTCAAAGAGCCATCAGACCACCACAGATGGGGCCCAATAGGGCCGATGCCGATTCGGAGTCGCGGAGAACCTAACGGGTAACCGGGGCTCCGGCTCGACGTGCAGGAGAAGGAACGGGGTGGTTTTTAGTCAGTAAGAGTCTGACACTCCCTTCCGCCTCACCCAGGCGGGAGCAGTCATTCGATGATATTCCCCCCTTAAAAAAAAAAATACAATCATTTAAACATCCAACATTCGTTCAAATATTAGTTGTTATGGTTAGATTAAAACCTCAAAATCTGATAGTTTTATTGAAATATATCTTTACTGCAGCTTGTCCGCTATAAAAACAAGATCTTCTAGGAGTCTAAAAACGATAGAGAATACAATACATATTTATCCGATACGCTTGGCTCCAGGGCCAACAATGTATGGACGCAGAGCAATGTCTTTTTATTGGGTATAAATCCAGAAAAACTATTTCAGTAGATGTAATAGAAAATTAAGAGAGCCATGTACTAAAACAAATAAATATAATAATAAACAAATAATCATCAACAGCCTGTAAATGCCCACTGCTGAGCAAAGCCTCTTCTCACACGGAGAAGGTTAGAGCATTAATCACCACGCTTGCTCAATGCGGGTTGGCGATTTCAAACTTATAATTAGAAATTATAAGTCCAGGTTTCCTCACGATGTTTTTCCTTCACCGTTTGTCAGTGGTGTCTAAATAATCTTAGAAAGTACATATAACTCGGAAAAAGTCACATTGGTACTTGCCGTTGGTAGGTTTCGAACCCGCACCCTCATGCATGAGAAGTGGGCGTCTTAAACCTATGGGCCACCATGACATTTTCATGGTGATACTAATCCCAAAAGAAGAATAATAATAATCATAATCCCAAAAGAAACAAATAATAATAATAATCCCAAAAGAAGAAAATAGAAGAGAAAACGAACAAATCCATTGTACTGCTATCAAATATTTTGGTACAATGTCACAAATGAGGAATAGTAATGCAGCAATAATACTGAATCGCATACGAAAAGCGACATTGTTACGTTATGAAACCGCCATCACAAGTAGTAAAATAATATTTTTTGCAGGAGTTCAATTAGAAGACATGCCTGTAAAGTTTTATTCTACCAACGGCATAAAACCTGAAGCTTGTGTGAGTTTGATGGCAGAGGGAGTAGTCGCATTTACTAGCTGCACAGAATGGTTGCCATACATTTGCTATAAGAAAAACACAACTCAACTGAAGTACAACCATGATTGTGGAACTTTTGACAGAGGTAAGTTCTATGACTAGCTCAAAGCTTTCAGTATGTTTGTTGTATGACTTTTGCTAGGAAAGATACATACATAACAACACGCCTTTTATCCCCGAAGGGGTAGGCAGAGGTGCACATTATACCACTGTACAATGTTACACCCACTTTTTACTATTTATGTTATAAGTCCCATGTAATAGGGGGTGAGCCTATTGCCATATACCGGGCACAATTCTGCTACTGGGATTTTTTTTAAAACCCAGTAATACTTTGCCCGACCCGGGAATCGAACCCGAGACCCCTTGCCCGGCAGTCGCACTTGCGACCACTCGGCCAACGAGGCAGTCGGAAAGATATGTCTCATAATAATTTCCCCGACTCAAGACTTCTTCCTCAGCAACAGTTAAAGTAGGATAGTGGTTAGACAATTGACGATAATATTTTCCTCTCAGAGTACCACTACAATGCCGCGACGGGTAGCTGCTACAAGTTGCACAAGCAAGCAAGGACTTGGCGAATTGCGTATAAGGTATGCACAGCCGAGGGAGGCCACCTCGTTATCATCAACGACAAAACTGAAGACGAAGTCGTGGTGAACATATTGAAAAAAAAACCAAGAAACCTTCCTTGGGAACTATCACACACTGGATTTTTCGACTGGAACAAAGATTTATTAACCTTCCTCACTATTCATGGTTTGTAACATAATGCCATACGTATATAATTTTAATAGGATAGATAATGTTAGTGATAAACTTTGTAGCACAGAGTAAAAATTTACGAAGATAGTAAAATACTTAATAGTAAAATAAGTATATAAGTACACCACACAACAATCTCTCATTATAATACGCTTCTTGGTTTCAGGGGAGAAAATGGATACTGTTTATAACATCTGGAACGAAAATCAACCCGACAACAAAGGAGTGAATATTTACGGAGGAATCTTAGAAAACGGTAAACTGGACGAAGAGTGGGACAGCAGAGAAGCTTACTTTGTTTGTGAAAAGGATCCAAAAATTCAACTTTATGACCAATGGGAAAGTTGTTCTGAAGGGTGCTTCTGATTCATTGATCTGGCTCACAAACTGAGCTAAAAACTGATTATTTGAGAAATATTACGTATTAAGCAAGTTACTAAATGTAAAAATAATAGCTTGGAACAACATTATGAAATCATAATTTGTTCCATGCCAATAGAGATGATGACAGGGTATGAAAATTAAAAATGTAATTAGTCCGTCAGTTAGGTAATGAAAAAATATTTGACACGTATTTTTTTTGATGTATACCTCTAATAAAATTATACTTACATATAACGAATCAAAGTTTAGAAGTGGGGGCTAAAACGTCATTTCTACGTATAAAATGTACATAGAAGTGACGTCACGCGACATTTCAAATCAATATATAGTCGAAATTATTCGTTTCTGTAAAAAAATAAAAATACGTGTGTAATCTTTTAAAATAATCTACCAGACGGATATTAAAATAAAAAATTAGTCATCTACCCTATTGTAATTGACAATTAAGGCGGTTGGCTAAAGAAACTATGACGTCGAAGCTTAATAATATTGTAATACCGTAACAAATTCAAATAAACTTTACTTGAAATTTATGATTTTTTTACTAGTGTACGCACGAATACCTACTAAAAGGCTATCATATACACTTCAATATAGTGCCATCTCTATCATTTTACAAAGAATTTGTAGCGACAGAACTATACTTAATTGCGACCTACCGAATCTGCGTGTAAAGGTCCCGATATTGTAGTCATAATTTTAAAATCGGCACTAAGATTTAAAAGTCTGTAGAACGGTAAAAGTGCACATAATGCCGTAATAATTGCACACAAACATGATGTAGACTTGTCAAAGCTAATTGCTGCACGGGCACACATCGACACAACTATCATTTACAGCGTTATACACATTTGTGGGTAATTTCGTATTAGGTATGTGTTTAAAAACTATAAAAACATTCATCTATCACGCACACATTAATTGAATTATTTAATATCATTTTGTTTTAGTCTCACGTCGTCATTTTAATGCGTCAAAAAACATACTTATTTCCTTAAAATTAGCGAGAAAACACCCAAAAGTAGGTAAATTGTCAAATCAATGAATGAGAGTATGATCATTTTTTAATTATTTATTGACTGAAAAGTTGAAACAATTTATTTTAAACCTAGGAAACTAGCCAATTGTTAAGTTTTACGTCAAACATTGTTTCTCAGTACCCAAATAATGTATGAGAAATAAAGATATTCTATACCTAAGTACCTAGCTTACAAGTGTATCATGAACTAGCAAAAAGTTATTTTTAATGGACACACTGCTAAATTAATTTGTGATGACAAGATCAAAGTACTTTGTTCACAGCTGTACTGCATGGTACACTAACTTTGACTGTTCCGACTGTACTGACTTTAAGCAACTGACATCGCGCGACATTTATGTTTAATTTAACATACCTTACAGCGAGGACGTCCTTATGACTAATACTTTTTTTAAGGTGGAAATATCATCGAATGACTTCTTCCGCCTGGGTGAGGCGGGAGGAAGTGTCAGACTCTTACTGACTAAAGACCACCCGGTTCCTACTCCTGCACTTCGAGCCGGAGCCGCGGTAATCCATTAGGTTCTCCGCGGCTCCGTATCAGCATCAGCCCTATTGCTTAGAGATTCGCTACGAGGTGAATCTTTGAAGGTTTCCTAAGGATAAAATATTGGAATTTTACGAAAAAAAGTGATGGTCTAATCTGTTTGTGTGTACCATGAGTTTTACGGTGTTGGATTTAAGGTATAGAAGGATATATAAAAAATCCTGATAAATCCTGCTTTTAGCCAGCTATTAGGCAGTTGCCACAACCGTAACCTCCGCTCGACGGACAACTTGCTTCTTGAAATACCTTCCCACCGGACCTCTTTTATTTCTAATTCTTTTACAATAAGTGTCATCAAACTTTGGAATGCGCTCCCCCTCAATATCAAAAAAGCTCCTAATAAAATCTCCTTCAAACACCAAGTTCATGAATTTTATTTAAAATCGCTGCAACGCTAGATCTAGGTCTTCGTCGATATATATTTATGTATGTATTTATACCTATATATTTTATGCATATGACTATATATACTATTTACTATTATGTAATATATATGTATAACTATATTATTTAATAATTACCATTATTTTTTCCTCTCTCTCTCTCTCTCTCTCTCTCTCTCTTTGTTGTTAGTTTATTCTCCGTACCTCAGTTTTCGCAGATTTTCTACTTAAACCCTAAGGTTGACTGGTAGAGAATGCCATATGGCATTAAGTTCGCCATAAATAAATATATTTTTTCCTATCGCGATGGAAATCCTCATGGACTTCCCACGGCGTCGTGGGGACGACGGGGGGCGTTCCATACTCGTACCGGTTAAAACCACCGCGGTATTCCTCCACTGCCTGTGCTTGTGGGACGCCCTTACGGAATCACCATACCATAGAAAGATAATGTTTCAACATGTAGCAACGTATCTGTATGATAAGGATTAAATTTAAACAAAAAATGTGCTGTTTAAATTTCCTTTCATTAATTAGGAAAGAAACAAAAAAATAAACATTGGAATAATTATTATGCCATAACATAAAATGTTTGATAGTCAAGCAAATTGTTACAATTCCAGTAAGTCGGCTCCAATTATTTCCGATTCTTCTCAGGGATTAAAATAAAACTGCGTTTGTGATATTTTTTTAATTAAGTTCAATTAAAATCGTATTATTCAGTTCGTTGTTAGGGGGAGTTTTACGCAAAACTTATTTCTTCAATTTCTTTTTGCTAATTAAAAGTGAGTTTGGAGATTTCGCATTCTTCTCTTCGGACGCTTTGGGGTGACCATTGCAGACTTGTTGACTTTCTTAAAGTTATCGTGTTTTGTGTTATTTTGACTCTTTGCTATATACATATATATATATATTTGCATCCAGTGTACTTAGTAACATAGTTACTTTTTTCGTAACAAAACTTGCTATGTAATGTAAAAAAATAAATATAAGGAGGTAAGTAAAAATCGCCGTTTACAAAATAAATAATTTTGATTTAGACTTAACTAAAAAATAACTATAACAACTTAAATATTGATAAATTTATTACAATTTATATCCAACCATGTTTAGACAAATTCAACAGTCACATTTTTGTTTGCTAATAAAAATAAACAAATAGACTTATAGACAAATCTACATAATATTTTTTACAGATTCAAAAAGACAGGCAAATGTAGCGTATATTTCCTCCTCTCCTAAGTTTTCAAATATTGATTAATTGACTCCTATTTACTTGGCGACATTGAAGTCAATGAGGGGCTCGGTTACTATGGAGATGGGAGGCGACCGGTAAACAATCTACAGCTTAAGTTCTAATGCAATCATTGTTAGCGACATCTCACAGATTAAGGGGAACGCGTTCATTCATTAAGATGGCTGTATTACATAAAGCATCCAAAAACGTTTAGTAATGAAGGCAATTCGTCAAAAAGAAGCACTTTTAGTCCAATGAAATAGTAATGACTGCCTCGTTGGCCGAGTGGTCGCAAGTGCGGGCAAGGTGTCTCGGGTTCGATTCCCGGGTCGGGCAAAGTCTAACTGGGTTTTAAAAAAAAATCTCAGTTGTAGCACGAAGTCTGGAATTGTGTCCGCTATTTGGCAATAGGCTCACCCCCTATTACATAGGACTCATAACATAAATAGTGAAAAGTGGGTGTTAAATTGGACAATGGCATTAAATACTGTAATGTGCACCTCTGCCTACCCCTTCGGATATAAAAGGCGTGCTGTTATATTATGTTACGAAAAAGTATCTTAGTAACAATATCCGATTATAAAATACTTATTTTAACTCATGGTTAAACTGTCCCTATACATATTTCTGTAGAATATAAAGTTTGTTTGATTCAAAATAAACTTAAATGCATTGTTTCATGTGTACTATACTCCTTGAAGTCCAGACTGGAGACTAACAGCAAAGTCTGTACAAGTCGTTCAGTGTAAAATACCGCCTGTCTTTAAAACGTCTATTATTTGCTCGGTCAACATATTGTCCTCCATTCTCTTGGACACTGGACTGTTCCAATGACGATCTGAACCAGATAAGCCGCAACTTTCAGTCCAAACAATCGTAAAACATTGCGCAAACAGTTCTGAGTCCTGGCAACAATAGCTCCACGAACAAAATCGTATGGACCCTTACTGAACTCGTAGACATTTCTAATAGCCCTTAAGAGTGAGGCAAACAGTTTTACTCCATTGTCCACTTCACTCGACATTGTTACTTGATAACAATCTTACTTTTTACCGGCCACTCAAACGATTCTGATACTTCCTACAACGACATATTACTTTCTATAAATGCAAGATCAATTTGGCGCACAGTTCGTGCCGTTTCCATGGTAACGGGTATTGTCCAAGCATTTTTTCTAAATATTTTTGAACGAATTTCAACTCTCTGTCGCTAAATTGTAAGTTGGATGTCCTTTGTATTGGTTCGCAATAGATATTTTTATTATGAGTAAGAATATTTTTCTGCAATTGAATTTTTATTTAGTTGGAATCGATGACGCATTTACTGTTAGATATCTCTTGTTTCTGCGAAATGCTCGATATAGAATACTTAGTTATTTGTCTTTTAGTACATTATCTAACATAAATAAAAAGCAAAAAACAGCTTTCTCTTTCATCTATCGTGTTTAGAATTTTCCAACCAATGGCTCATGTATGGAAACCGTAAAAATGACGTACAACTATTGATAAAGAAGAGGCCGGACTTTTAGCCAAATTAGATAAAAACTGGAATAAACTAAACCGCACAACACAATAAACCGACAAACTACTGCAATATAACAGAACTGTGGTGTTAAAGTTGACTATTTTTGTACAAAAGCGCCATGTTATGAGAATAAATCGCGCGTCGAGACAACACATTGAATTGTGCTCGTCTTTTAAACATTGTTAAAGATCCTACACATTCGGAGTCTAGTTTATCGGATGATCCAGTTTTTAAATCTGATATTCAAAAATA